ATTTAGCCCATTACAAGCTCAATTTTATTTTGAATGGATAATTATTGATTAGAATTCTTTTGCAATGTATTTAAGGCAAAATAAAACTGCCCCAAAAATTCGACGGAATCCGTAGCAACGACATTGTATGGCCGTTAGACCAACTGCTAGACAGAGCATGTCTTCCTTTACAAGCTCATACATATCTTGTACAATACAATCTCTACAAAATAAGGCCATTCATAGTTATGATCATATTGGACGTTATATCCAGGGATCCCAGATCTTCTGATTTTGGCAGAAAAATTTTGACTTTTGGATTTTTTCTGCCTCGTTTCTGCTCTTTTTTGCCTTAAGGTCTAATGATTTTCTGATTTTCTAAGTCTTTTTCTCATTTTTTTCTGATTTTGAACTTCTATTTTCTCATTTTTTTTGACTTCTATCTTCTATTTTCTGATTTCGTGTTTTGGATCTGGGATCCCTGGTTATATCACAAATGTGACTTTTTCAAAAGCTCCCAGCCAAATGATCATAACTCTGTCAGAAAACATCATAGAGAGCTGGGAGACATCTCATTTTGTAGAGAAATCTTTAATCTACAAGATTGACGGTACTGAAATACTAAACAAATACTGAATCGAAGAGAAAAAGGGTTGTTTCAGCCTAAAGTAACAAACTTTAGGCTGAACAACAATTAGTAACAAACAAAACAACAAAAGAGTTGTTTCAAAAAAAAAGTAACAAAAAAAAATTCGTATCTCCTCAACAAAAGATTTTAAAGAGCTGTGAATGACCTTATTTTGTAGAGGACACTTTACTCTATAATGCACAATATTAAATTCAAATAATAAAATAAGTTTCTAAAAAAAGTCTAAAAAGAAGAGGGTTTACATTTCATTTTCTCTGAAGGTGTATATTAGTATTCGACAATATATACACTACTGGATAGAGCAAGTCTTTCTCTACAAGCTCATACATATCTTGTTTCGGGCGCAATAGCTTATAGTTGTCTTTATTACAAGATGCAGATGAACTATTGTTATTAGATTCAATGACAAAAGTCAGAAATACTTGTACATAGTTTTTATTGACTCAAAAAATATACCTTGATTTTTATCATGATATGTTTTCGTTTTGCGGAAATATTAAAGATAATATAGGAAATAAAAAATAAAATTTATTTTCTAAAGTAGAAAATGAATGAATCATTCATTTTATAACTAAATAAACCTAGAAAGAGTTAATGTATTTAAATATTAAAACCAGCTGCTCGCATACATCGTTTATGTTCTTCAATTTCTTTTGAACATTGTTCTTCACCATTCATTAGAACACATTCATCTCGAATATTTTTCGTTTCGGGACAGGCACAACAGGCTTTACATTTTGGTTTTATTGTATTTTCATTATCAATTGTCGATACATTCGTTGATGTTTGTGTGCCTGTAATCGATGCTGAACGATGCAATGGTTGCAAATGTTTATCTTCACTTAATGCTATTTTATCGCCTGCTGATTGACCTAAACCCATATCGATGATATTAATAACTAGAAAGATAAAAAACAAATGAATAATAAAAATAAGTATCTGAAGATTATATTTGTTCATAGAAATCTTAATCTTTTACTAATAAGAGTTAGATGTATAATCATCAGCGTTTCTAATGAAACTCTCTTTTGCATGTGTATACTGTGTTCTTTTCGCAAAAGAGGCATGCACCGATTATGATTATAACCGCTGTAACCGAAACTAATAAAGACCGACTTTAAACGTTGACAGCTATTTGGGGATCCAATCGGACATACATTAAATTTTGTATTTATCATCCTTTCTCTACATTTTTTTTCCATGTGCCGGTAAAACTACTGGCATATTCGCGGCCAGAGAAGGCATAAGCAGGACTTTTGATTGATGTATGATAAGTTTAAATCAAACAAAAACCATCTGACCTTTCGATGCTTTTCCTAGTGAGTGTCCAGCTGGATCCGCGAGCAGCTATCGAAAGTGAACAGCCGTCAACCGCTAATTCTCCGCGTAAAACATTAAGGTACTATCCATGAGTATTTTTTCGATTCTAAAACCGTTTTTTCGCTGAAAAACAACGCACACAGTTGATGGTAGTTCAATAGCAAAAATGCGTTGTTTGACCACGGTTTCCTAAGAAAACGAGATTTAGAAGCTTTTCCAGCGAAAAAATGGGTTTAAACCCGTTTGTAAAACCGAAAAAATACTCATGGATAGTACCTTAACCTTGTACGCGAAGAATTAAAGCCAATCTTGATCAGCTTTGGCTAACCGTAATTGGTGCATGCCTATTCGTAGTATATAATGAATAGGACATTCTATTGAAGAAATTATCGATGCAGTTGTTGACAAATTTTCATTATTTTTTTCGTTAAACAAAAACGCTGGTAGTTGAATTGCTGAATCACTGCTCTTAGTACGTAACTCGTCATTTTCTAATTATTGTTGTTGATCAGAAACGGAGGAAAATATGACCAGGTGTGTCAATTTTGTCAAAAATGGATCGATAGTTTCAATTTTTTTTTTTGGCATTAATGCGTTTTTTTATCGTTACACATTTGAAAAACAAGTGAGCTAGGAATAGTGACGAAAAATTGAGTTTCTCTTTTCTTTTTCTCTACTGATTTGATGATGCCCGTTCATAGTTATTCTCTAATTCTGTCTATTATCTTCTTCCTCACTGTGGATATGGACTTGTCCACGTACCGTTTTGTGAAATTCATCGCTCTTCAGCCAAGAAACGTACACAGTTGAAGAACGTCTTATTTTGTAGTCTAAAAATTTTTCTTTTAAATGATAATTAAGCAATATCTATCAGCTGTCTAGTTTAAGTGACATAATGTTTTTGGTATACGCCACTTTCGTATAAAAGGGCCTTTTTGGCACGAATTATAGACAGGCAGGTGTTTAGATTAGAGCTAGACTTTGCTTAATAACCATCTGAAAGAAAAATTTTAAACTACTCTGTATGTTTCACGGCTAACGAACTAAGACTTTCGTAAAACGTTATGAACGTACGTTTTTTGGCTGGTACGCCTGGATAGACCGATATCTATATCTTATGAACGAGTGAGTTGCAAGGAATTTGTTAAAATTCGCAAAGCTTCATGATTTCTGTCTATCTTTTCGTTGTTCATATTAAAAGAAAAAGAAAAAAACTGAGTCATCATCCAACGAATGAATATCATTTTTTTTTTCTAAATCGATTAAAATTGCCTGAAAAAAAAAGTGAAGAGAGAGTACATTTGAATTTCAAATTTTGAAAGTCTATTTTGTCATTCGAAACGCTGATAATCTCATTGGATATGACAAATGATCTAAAACATTTTTCATTAGTATCTTAATTATTAGACTTACAAAGAAGATGACGATAATTAATAAGAGAAGATTAAATATAATTTTGAATACAAAATAAGATCTAAAAGAAGAAAAATTCAAATTATTGATAGAAATTTTATTTGTTGAGAAATAGAAAATGAAACTGCGATGATATAAATTCATTACTTGTTTAAAATGAACGAGATTAATAAGAGTGAAAAGAAGGTTTAGAAAAAAAAGAATTGAAACTATCGATCCATTTTTGACAAAATTGACACACCTGGTCATATTTTCCTCCGTT